TCGCAGACGGCAAACTCCTATCGCCCTCCGTCTCATTCTGACGACCGAGGAGGAGGAGGAATCGCTCTCGCAAGCACGCACGCTCCTTGGCGCGGAAGGACCGGCTCGAAAGCGCGGCCGCGAGCGCCGCGCCGCGAGCGACCGCCTAGAAGCGGAACATCTCCCCATCTCTCCCCATCTCTCGTGCCTAGAAGCGGAACATCTCCCCATCTCTCCCCAGATCTCGTGCCTCCTCCGCGTTGAGCGAGCGGCGCGTCGGCATCTGGAAGGAGGTAGAGACGGCCTCCCCGACGGCAGGCATCCTCGAGAGGCCTCCCAACATCTCGACGGAGTAGACGTCGCGCGGCTCGAGGCCGGCGCCGCGCAGCGCCGCGCAGCACGCCTCCCGCACCCGCCCAAGCAGCGGCGCCTGCTCACTGCCTCGCGTGAGAAGAGGCGCTGTCCACGCCTCCCCGCCCCCTCCTCCCGCCCACGCAGCGGCGCCGCCATCTCCTCGAGCTGCTCGATCTCGGCTCTCTCTCGGCCATATCGCGGGTACTCTCGCGCCGCCATCTCCCTCGAGCTATACCTACCTCTCTCGCTACGCCTCGGCTAGATCTCGGCTAGATCTCGCCGCCATCTCCTCGAGCTGCGCGCGCGTGAGGCAGCCCGACACGTCCGTCTCGCCGACCAAACACTCGAGGGAGAAAGACGCGTCTCTGTTCGCCGAGAGCACGCGCCGCAGCCCCTCGCACGCGGCGCGGAGCCTGCTCACGGCTGCAGCTGTGAAGAGACGCCGTTCACGCACGCGCAGCCTCGGCCACGCGGCGCAGAGCCTCTCTGCAGACCGCGCGCCCGCCAGCGCGTCGACTCCGTGCCGGGCCTCGATCTCCGCCGCAAAGTGGCGCAGCAGGAGCTCGTCGAGGGCCTGTCGGGGTGTGTGTGTGTGGGGGGGGGGGTCGCGCCGAGCGGGGAGCCGGGGAGCCAGCAGGGTGTGTGTGTGTGTGTGGCTGAGAGGGGGGGGGGGGGGGGGAATTTTTTTAAATTTGAGGGGGGCCCCATCGCCCCGCCGCCTCAGGCAAAGTGTGTCTCGTCATCCCGACGGGACAGCACAAATCTTGGTTTTACGGGGAGCCCCTCCTCGGCGGCGGGAGCGTGGAATGGGGTCCCGCGGCCACCGGGGTGGGGGGGGGATAGAGAGTGAGCGAGTCGACACAGCCGGGGATCATCTCTTGGCCTCCCCTCCCGAGACTGCCCGATGCGCGTGCTTCACACTCAGTAGCTGGCTCTGATTAAGAGGAGGAATACCAACCTGGGATGTACACCTACCCCCGCGGTC